AAGTCTTCTGGCTTCAGTCTGAGCACCCCATGTAATAATCTATTAAATTTACGGCGTGCTTTCCATGCTCTCTGCATATCGCCAGGTTCAAGAGTGGCTGCTCTCAAACCTTGAACCTGAGTAACAGTTCCTAATTAATTACCTGCAAGTAGCCTTCTCATGGCACAATACGCGCCACACATTTTGTTGTCAACTAGTCAAAGTTTGATATACAAGTTATTGGCCTAAAGTCACTACCTTTACTTGGACTTTTCTAATCAAATAGGCAATACCCCTGTTAAACTACGGATCTTCTTCCTCTCTATCCAAACAAATCTGCCTTACTAAGTATAGATCTGAATGTAAAAATGCATTTCATAATGAAGTTCCAGACTCCATTATGGCCTGCGACCTTCAAGCTGGATAAATAGGAAATTATCCTCCCAAACTCGGCTTCAGATGGGAAACCACTTCATGATCTGGAAGGAATCCCTCCAGATGTGCCGATTGTCATGTCTCATTTTTGAGTTTCACATCGTACCCCAAAAATCCCTGATTTCTTCTGTCCTACATTGCAGCTAACAGGCTGTTTATCGGTTACTTTCTTACAAACCGATTCTTGTACAGCTTAAATCTGGCGTTTTGGATTTTTAATGCACATTGGCACTCATGAATCCTTTACTTTGCTCTTATATTCCTTTTCTTAAACTCACACGCTGTTTGCATGCTCAGGGGCCTCTTAACAATCACGTTTGAGAGCAAGTATGAGATTCATGCTCCTCACACACTTCTTGGCCTTCCTCAGGTTTCTACTTTCAGCTGTTTCACTAGCCAATATATATATATATAGAATGAACTTTAGAATTTTATCTTTCTGCAAACATTAATTAATGTTGGATTAAACTTAACAGCAATGATTTCGACATTATATCACCGACATCGAAAATTCTGTATTACATCGAGAACATATCATCGTCCAAAGAGTTCATTTTTCGCCACTGAAACAGAATCTCATGCTTGGGATAGTCTTTCATTTAGCTGCTCCATCCCAGATTTTTCCATGTCAAAAATGGAAGTAAGTTTTGACTGTTTTCCTCTAAGCACTACATAACATCTAATATGAAAATTTATTTGCAAGTTTGTCAGTAAGCAACAAGAACTTAGCTCGCTTTGCAGAACTCTAATTTCACTTTGTATCCTTTCGACGACCATGCAAACATTAATCTTCATAACATATATACGATCCCAGACTAAGTATAAGATGCAAATATAATTTATGCGATTTCAGTTCTGTTCGTTTGAATCGCTATCTGATGACTCGTATATCAACAGCCTGGACGAGGCAATTAGTCACAAGGCATATATTTTACACCAGAAATCATTAAAAAATGCTTCACTGAAATCAAACAATGATACTGTTGTTACAGAGCTTACTATTAATAGTACTCAATAAAATTATGATTCCATTTTACATATCAAGCAACATTCACTTCCTCTGTTATTTGAATTTAACAATAACACTTTTCTTTATCAAGAGCAATGATGTACCTATGCATATATCTACAACGTCAAAATAGACCAATTCTGGAAAACCCGCAATATCATCCTATGTTTCTGCCACGATTTGAGCAAACTGCCTGTTTGTAAAATAATTACAAAAACATGAAATAAGCACGAAAACTCCATTGAAAAACGAATACTTGCTGATGATGCCCATTATTGTAAGAAATATGCATATTTCATGCTTAGATTTATGAATTTACAGATAATTGGAAAGAACACAAGCAACCAACACAAACTATTCATAGGGCCATCCTATTAGCAAAATACCAAGCAATCACTAAACTACATAACTTTTTTCAGACTAATGATGCTGCTTTAACTGATAACCAGGAAGCAACCCAGATGTATTAGCACGTGTTTGCTTTTCTTCCTCAATTTCATCTAGATACGGTTTGAGATACCAAGTTTCCTAAATATTTAATTATAATTATAAGATTTATAAAAGAGATGGGTCATGATTAATTTCAGAAAACTATATTTACTAATTCCACACGCACTTAGAAACATTAGAAACCAACAACATACCAACAAAACATACTGAAAAAAAAAAACAGAACAAAACTTACGTCTTCCCATTTGGTCCATTTCTCTTTTGGTAATTGTTCACCATGAGCTTTTAATGTATGCGCATGATAAAGTCGTATTTTGCGTTCATCAAAGAGCCAAGGCTCTTTCAAGTTCAAACGTCGTAGAGCTTCTTTTACTTCAGGAGCAGGTTCAAAAACCTGATCATGAAAAAGTAATCCTGAAAAATTTTATCACGGTAGGAATATCCATTTAATATTTGTCTCAAAAGATCTGAAGCAATCGTCACTTACTCAGTATCAACAAAAACTCTCGTAACTTTTTTCCTAGTAATCTATCGCTATAAATTTATAGCAAAGTAAAAACTCCTGAATCGAAAACATGAATCTTTATTGGAGAGATAATATACCATAACGCCTCCCGCTCCATCCATATGTCCACATATAATACCGCAGAATTTTGGCCCATTTTCCTACAATAAGTGAAGTTAACTCATTTATACGGGGAACACTATCAATACTTTTAGAAAAACCCTTGAAACAAAATGAAAGTAAATTGAAGTATATCAAGTAATATTCGTAAAAACAGAAATATTTATTGCGAACTCTAATACTTTATAAATTTATATTTAAAAAATGTCAAGGTAATAGTTGAAAGAATAATGAATTAGAATGAAATTTCAATGCGCAAGAAAATTTTATCCCAAAACTTAAAAAATACCACTATAGGTAAATTTGATATTTTTAGCAGCTGGAGAGACTACATCCCATGGAGATACAGAAAATGAGGGCCTGGACAGGGCAACCTGAAAACTGATTTACAAATATATGACAAATAAAAGCAAACAATCTTGATTAAATGAAGTTATGTAGTAAAATTAATATTTCAATTATTTAAAAATTGCAAAGTGGAAAACTGTGACGAATAAATGGAAACTCTAGCGAGAGAATAATATGAAATATACAAGTAGTGAAACTGCAGATGAAATTACAAATTACAGACGATAAATACAGCAAAAATGACCTGTGTTAGCTGTGTTAGTCGTACCATTGTATATAATCGAGAATGAATCACTTTTTGATTATCCTTAAACTTTAATATTACAAGTGAGTAGAGAACTTCACCTTCAGCACGTTTACGCGTGAAATAAAATAACAAAATTTTCTAAATGTAAAATTATTTTCAACACGTTTTTCTGCTTTTTTTTTGTCTGAGCCATTTTTCATCAAAAGGTCATTATTTTAATTTTTATAAATCATTTTTTATTTTTTTAAAACAAAAGACCTTTAACCTTAATCTAAAACAACTATTAAATTATGTAACATAATTCAATAATTTGTAATATATACGTATATTCAGTTCACGACTCGATATTTGCTTACGAAACTATACATACTGTAGAGTAAAGAGTAGCGACATCTCTTAATATTGAGCAAGTAATTATCACTGGTAGTGATATAAATGCATACGGAAAAGCAAAGAGAGAATTTGCACGAAAAGTTATCACAAATATAAAGTTAGAAAACTGCATATGTTTTAACATTGGACTAAATATAATCATTTGCTTTTGCAATTTCGATTCAATCCTTTTTTTTAAATTAAAAGAGTAAGTCAAGAAGGATTAAAGTTAATGAGAAAGAAGATGACTAGAAATAATAATTAATTTATTAAGCACGGAATAGATTTGTTTGTAAATATTATCAGTATTTAAGTTCGCAGTATGGATTGAAAGTTGGGCCAGAATAATGCAAAAGCATCTTTGTAAAGTATGTTGCCTTTTTTTTACAAAACAACTTGATAACGATAATACTTGGTAATAAATTAGCACGCAAAAATAATATCACGAGAAGGAACACTCAGCGCGTGTTTAATAACAGACAGAATTTTCCTCAACTATTTGGATTAGACCAGAAGCTGAGTAGGTATTTCACGGTGCGCCGGAAAAGTTTCAATTTTTAGATTGAATGGTTTACTAGCAGAAAAAATTTTGCCACTGCAGTAAATGTTAGGTTGTAACTTGTATTAATCGGATTTCACTGCCTCGTAAAAGTATTTCACCAAGCTACCAATCAAATTCAGACTTTGGACCTTCATTTTCCCCCTATCAAGGTTTGTGTTACGCCTTTGTAATAGTAATATTGTGTTTGAAAACTAGAATTTATTAGCCTTTTATTTTTACTTCTTCATTATTCAGCACTCCAATTTTTATATTTAATTTCAAATTACATCATGAGCAATATTTGTAATCTTGCTCTTACCTTCATTTTTAGGTTTTTAGCAATTTTTCATTCATTCAGGCAAATAATGTCCAAAAAAGATCGTCGTCGAGCTTTTTTCGATATAGCAGTCGATGGTAACCTTATAGGCCGGATAGTGATGGAATTATTCAATGATTTAGCACCACGAACATGTCATAACTTTTTAATGCTTTGTACTGGCATGGCTGGTGTAGGTAAGATCAGTGGCAAACCTTTACATTACAAAGGATCTACTTTTCATCGTGTGATTAAAAATTTTATGATTCAGGTAGGAAATTTTTCTTTAAAGTATAGTATTCATACTACACGTTATTTTTAGATTTCTTTTTGATCCGTATACATTGTTGGTATGTAAATATTTTTTTTTAACCGAAGAACCTATCACTTTTTCAGACATTTAAGGGTTGTAAAAAATGACGTATCTTCTATGAAGATTAATTGCTGAAAAAATATTTCAAGATGTCCTTAGAATATAGAGAATATAATCTTAGTAAAATTATATATCATCAAATTACGAAGTGGTCATTTTTATAGGGAGGTGATTTTACGAAAGGTGATGGTACAGGAGGAGAGTCAATATATGGTGGTATGTTCGAGGACGAAGAATTCGCCATGAAACATGATGAACCCTTTGTCTTGTCAATGGCAAACAAAGGACCAAACACGAATGGTTCACAATTTTTCATAACTACTACCCCTGCACCACATCTCAATAATGTTCATGTGGTATTCGGCAGAGTGAGTAGCTTCATATTATATTTTTTTCATGGATTTACTCTCCTTTAGTTTTAAAATTTATTCATTCTTCAGTCAATGTATAAATTAAATTTTCAAATTGTGTAGTGACATCAGTCTGTACTTATCTAATGGTTATTGCATTTACTGTTTTCTATGTAGTTCATGAAAATTTGTTCATCAAAAACAGTTTTGTCATGTTAAAAAATCATCAAACGCCTCTAACTTTAGAAAAAGAGCCAGGTAGTATTTTATTTCCTGGCTCTTCTTCTAAAGTTCTCATAAGTTATGAATGGTCTGTTCTTATTTATAATGAAAGAATAAAGCTGTATAAGCTGTAAAGCTTTATAGGTAATTTCTGGTCAAGAAATTGTATCAAAAGTTGAACACTTGAAAACTAATTCAAAAAATCGGCCCTTAGCTGATGTTGTTATTTTGAACTGTGGAGAACTTGTGCGAAAGAAAAAGCGGTTGCACTCCACTAATTCCAATGAATCCAGCAAGTAGCGCATTATTTATTTTGATTTTATTGATATATTAAAAGTTTTCTGTTGATTTTTGAAGCACGGATTTTTATTTTTCATGTTTTGCTACTGAATTCTTAATATGAATATCAATTTTTAACTTTCATCTTCTGCTCATCATTGATGTCGTGAAATTTTTCAGCTCTTCGACTGCAGATAAAAATCGTAAAAAGACAAAAAAAACTAAAGTGAAAAAAAAGAAACGGGAAAGTGGTGGTGAAGTAGATATTGCAGAAATAAATACTGTCCCTCAAGCAGAGTTGGAAATATCGAGTGTAAAGCCAAATGATTTGCCTGAAGAATCCCAACAACAGAATACGTATCTTTTAAGGCGGTCAGCATGTTTATTTTCGTTATTTTCAGACGCTTGAATATTTCTTTTCAAATAAATAAATAAAATTCTCTTAGATCAAAGACGCCACAAAACTTGAAAGAAAAAAAAGATAAAATAAGTCGTCCTACGAAGCGTTTTTCACGACGCAATACAAAACAGCATTCAAATCGTATGCGACGAACTCGAACTGGACACAAAATCAAGGTAATATTATTTGCATTCATTTATGAATATTTTGATTTTAACATGTAGATTAGATTTCGCATTGTACTTCGAATGTTCTTGTGTCGGATGCTTTAGCAATAAATTGTTTTGTTATCTAGCGATTCAGTTTTTTCTTTCAATATTAAGTTTTTGGAGTGTATCAAAACAAGCAATTCGTTTTGTTCAGGGACGTGGTGCTCTTCGCTTCAGAACCCCTGAAGGCAGTAGTGATCTTGATCGAAGTCGTACTCCTCCGCACTGGAGACGGGAACAGGTCTCATTTGAAATAAATCATTCAAAATATTTATTGCACTGCATTAAAAGCCGAAAAATTTCCCTTTCTATTCAGCTACAACCTATTTTTTAAGGTTGTATTACTAGCTTTTCAGAATCGTGTGATAACACTTGAAGAATTGCATAAGTTACGAGAAAAAAAGAAACTGCATGAATTGGAAAATGTTGAAAATTTGCAAAGCACTGTAAATGAAAAAGGAAAACCGGAACTGTCATCAGCTGTGACCAAACATCACGAGCGACAAGTAGAAAAGCTTCGTGGTAAACACGAAAAAGACAAAAATCGCTATGAACGTAGATGGAAAAAAACGGTGAATTGAAATTTCAGTCTCTGATAACTGAATCTCTGTCATTCTTAGTTGCAGCATTATATCATTATCACAATAGCACTCCAAGTACAGAAAAAGATGAAGGATTTATAAAATATTGAAGATGAAGGATTTATAAAATATTAATGTACTTTTTTGCTAGTTAATATCAGTGTTTATTTCAGAGACGAACACCAGAGCGTATAGCGAGGCATTTTACAGAAGAGAAAAAAAGCAAAATTGATGATATTAGTAATACTGAAAATTTGAAACCTACAAGGAAGGATCGTCGAGGCCACTTATACAAAAAAAAGGAGAAAGTCGAAAGTGTAGGTTTTAAAGTTGCTTTGTTCATGATAAAATAATTGTTTGTAGGAATTAAAAGTGAAATATAGCTCTGATAATGATTGCGGTATTTATTTTTGTTCTTTTACTGACTATGTAGAACTTTTATTTATTAGTTTGAACTTTGGCCGGAAATCGATATGATTTGTAGCTTTTACTAAATTTAGCATGATGAGAGGGAAAGTGCAGCACAAGGGTTGGATCTGGATGAGCCAGCAATTGAGGTTGTCTTAGACGGAGCAGAAGAGATCAGGGATAGTGATGATGAAGCTATAAGAAAGCAGCTATTAAGAGCCAAAGAAATAGCAGAAGAAAAACTCAAACAAGGTAACGCACTGTTTTTACTTATGTGGACACTCTGAGTATAGCTTGTAACAGGAATGAAAAAAATTTTATTTCGATGTAATAGAATAAGAGATTATTGATTTATAGTTTTTATCAGCATTGTAGACTGCATCTGTATTTCTTTTAAGCAGTAGGTTCTAAATGTAAGTGAGAAAGTGATGTGCACTCAAAATTTGCTTTTAAAGGAAAAAAAGTGGCAGAAAATGCTGTGAATTGCATTGAACAACAATGTCAGAAAGCAGCTAATTTTGGAAAACAAAAAGACAATCCTGAAAAAGAAAATCATCATCGAGAGCAAAAAATTAATGATCACGAAAAACAGCTAGTCAGTACAATCAATAAAGGTGATGATCCAGGCGGAGGAACAGAAAGCAAGCATCATCAACAAGAAATCAGAAATAAAGACTCCAAAAAGCAAGTCGATCGAAAAAGGAGGAGTCCGAGCATTGAGAAAAGTAGTTTGAGACGAACAAGTCAAGAAAAATGTGAAAATTCAAAGCAAAAGAAAACTCCTGATCGAAGTTCAAACAGTGACAACCCAGTCGACCAAGGGAGATCTATTCAAGATTTGGATCGAAGCAATGGTTCCAATGCATCCTCAAAAAAGTTGGAAGAGAACAGTGCTGACAGTAAAGACGGTGATTTGTTAGAAGAAACAGATGCAAATATGCAACAGTCAAAGCGAAAGGAGAGTAAGGAGAGGATTGATGAAAATTGTAAAGTTCGGAAATTCGATGACAAAACAAGTGAACGTGAACGAAAGGAAAGGAGCCGTAGTCAAAGACGCAAAAGTAGAAGCATTAGTCGCAGGCGCCAAAGTTCAATTCATCGTTCAAGATCTCGTGATCATCGTATGAGGTTTTTATTCATGAATTTTCAGTAATGGTTCACAGTGATTGAAATTATGAGTAAAAGCTAGACACCATTGGTTTTAGGTCTAGATCACGTTCAAGAGATCGGAGACTTGGAAGATGGCACCGTAGTCGACGACCAACAAGGAGAGAATTATATGATGAACGAATGCGTCGCAGACGTGAAAGACGTCGGAGTTTTGATAGATATTCAGATAGGAGGCGCAGTAGAACTAGAAGTCGAAGTCGTAGTCGTAGTCGTAGTCGTAGTCGCAGGCGGGATGATGATCGGGTTTTGTTTTATGTATTGAAATATAAGCGAGTTCGTTAAACTGGTTTCGGGTTTTGACTCGAAAATTCACTGTTTTTATAAACAGTAATCTGTTTTTGAATCTTAGAGGAAATGATAATATTTATAAGGCCCTTCTGATAAATTGCCTCATTGATTGTTTAGTGCGTTTTAAAATGTTTTACGAGTTGTTAAATTCTTGTGTTTATTTTTTTTTTAAAAAACATTTTTTTTAATTTTAATTAGTTTGTTTCATTTGTTGAAGCTTGTGTCTTCCTTGCAGCATTCGAGACGCAACGAAAAGCGCTCAACATC